ATTCCCGACATGGGTACAATGTGTGAAGCCCATTTCTGGTGTCCCCCGCCGTGATATTGTTGGAAAATTGCTAAAAGCGGCATAAAATCAAACTCACTCACACACTCACTCACTCACTCACTCACTCGTAATGAATCTGTACTCTGGTACCGAAGCCTTTTCGAGGTATTTTTAAAAAATGTTCTCTTGATATTTCAAGATGCTAATTTGAAATTTCAAGATACAAACTTGAAATTTCAAGATACAAACTTGAAATTTCAAGATACTAAGTTGACATTTTAAGATACGTACTAAGTTGAAATTTCAATTTATTATCTTGAATTTTCAGCTTAGTATGTATCTTGAAATTTGAAGAAGAAAATTTAAAAAGGCTTTGGTACTCTGGCACAGCGCGTGTGAAATTGACGAGGCGGCAGTCGTGGTTTGTAAACAAATAGCAATACCCGTCACATACCAAACCCACCCATACCACACCCACCCAAACAACACCCACTCATACCACACACACCCAAACCACCCATTCCATACAACATCCATCCAAACCACACCCATTCTTACCACACCCACCCATACCACATCCACCCATACCTGGCTTCGTCATGATATTGTTACATATATATCTGTAAGTGTGTGTTTATTTATCTGCACTTACTCAGCATTCACCTGATGAAGGAGTTAGAAATAAACGTTGTGACAAAGACATTCTTAGCCATTAAAAGTGCCATGTATACCTTCCTGCGTGAATTATTAACTGGTTTTGTTGTTAATTTGAGCCAGAAATGTGCTGCAAGTTCAGTAACGAGGCGTTATAACGGGGTTGTGCCCTGTTCTCAATGTACCACAATGTCTTTTGAGTGATGGTCTCTCCGGCGATTTTTAGTTTCGTCACAAGGAGCTATCTGATTGACAGCTCACAGCACGTGGAAACTTTGAAATATACATACACTTGGCCATCTCCAGTGGGTTTCCCGTATATAACAGTCCGCTCATAAGGCTAAAAATATTAATTATTTGTTGATCGGACAGATATGTTTTGTTTGTTACTTATACCTTGGGTGTTTTTAACTAATTGCAACAAATTCTAACGCCTAATATAGAGATATCTGCCACACACCAAAATGTCTCATTATCAAACAATTTTGTCTGTAAATTTGATCTAAATGTTGCAAAATGTAGTTTAGGCAATATTTGGGACATTGTACATGACGCCTAAAATATTTACAATCAATGTGTTTCATAGTCATGGTGTATTTATTTACTCACATGTTGTCATTCACCTCAGGCACTGATCGTTTTGTTTTGTAAAAATCAATGTCACTTCTAATGTGCACCATAGTCAATTTCTCAACACTTCTACATGTCTATGTCAAATTCAGTAAGCAAGAAGGAGCATGATAAATACAAGCACATTTCTGTTCCCAAATGAAGAATTAAATCTTTTCGAAGGGTGAGTGAGTGAGTATGGTTTTACGCCGCTTTTAGCAGTATTCCAGCAATATCACGGCGTTGGACACCGGAAAATGGGCTTCACACATTGTACCCATGTGGGGAATCGAACCCGGGTCTTCGGCGTGACGAGCCAACGCTTCAACCACCAGGCTACCCCACCGCCCTTTTTTCGAAGGGGCACATACAATGTTATTGTAATGGACACAATGTTATTGTAATGGACACAATGTTATTGTAATGGACACAATGTCCGCATATTTCGGAGATGGAAGAGTTCGTGATATTATAAGAAGTAGCAACCAATATCCCAGCCGTATGACGTATATCTGTAAATAATCGAGTTTGGACCAGACAATTCAGTGATTGATATCATGAACATTGATCTACGCATTGGGATCCGATGACATGCATCAACCAAGCATTGGTCGTTACTCGTGATACTAATTACTGGATCGTCTGGTACAGATGCGAATATTTGATTATTTGGAATATTGCTGAGTGCTGCCTACAATTTTATGTATTTTGGCCAGGTGTCATTACATTAAGGCTATAAGTTTGCAGATATTGTGAAACTTTTTTATGGTGTGTTGGACCCAATTCAATAAAATCTACGAATCCTGTAATTTGTAGGTTTGACAAAATAAACATATTTGACCATATTTTAAATATTTCTTTAAGTTTAAAAAGCCTTCAGAGATTTGAGTGCCAGGGTATTATATATATGGCGATTATGTGGACATGCAAGAGTATTATTTTCCATTTCTCTTGCTGGCTGTTATATCTTCAGACTACATGTGTGTATTTTGCAAAGTTTCTGCTGTCCTGATCATCTGCCAGTGTGTCGTGTCAGTTTCAACCACGTGCGGCGCCTTCACTACAGTCGCTCCGACTTACGGCGGACGAGAAGCATATGGTGATACAGCCCTAGCCAGGTTATAAAACTTGGACAGACTGTAAACAGGTGCGTTAGCCTGTAGGATACACATGTGGATTGGAAAGTTTGACAATCAACACACGAATTTGAATGCCAGGGTTATAAAGTAGCACAGTAGCTTGGGAGTCCTGTGAAATTTTCAGAACTGAATGCACCCAGATACTGTTTCCTTCTCCCTACACCTACAAATGGCAGCCTCAGAATATAGCAACTTTGTTCAAGCATGTTCTTCAATGAAAACGGCGATTAATGATTCTTGAAAAAGCAAGTACACTGTTGTATTATGTAGCTAATACCGAAAACAGTCTTGGAATATTATGTATTATCATGTTCATTCGAGTCATCAGAAGGTGACAAATCCCCGAGGCCCCCACAAATTTGAAAGAACAAATCATCTGACTGTTACTTTAAGTCCAACTTGATGAGAGGATTTCCATCTAATCTGTCTGTCCTATACAAGATTCGGAACTTTGTATTTTTTCGTCAGGTACTCGCCAATATGAACAAGTCAAGATCAAATCTGTTGCCATGGAAACAGAAACAATATTAATTCTAAACACGCCTAAGTAGCAATAGGAAGCTTTTGAAAAACTGGTCTTTGTATGTAAAGTGTCATGGAAGTTTTATAAAGAGATATGGTCCGGACAAACACAGAGCTTTGAGTCAGTGAAGCTTGTTGCCATGGCAACAGGATTTGTTTTAAAAAATAGCAAAGGAACCACTTCAGCCTTTGGTTAATACATGAACCGGGTTTGGATGAGAAATGTTGGATTAGTTTTCTATCTCTGTTTCAGCTAAGTCTTACTTGTTAAATACGGAAACAGGGGAAAGTCAAATTTGGAAAAATTCCCAAATGGCAAAAATTCAAAAGAATTGACTCCAATATAATTTTATATTAATGGTGGTATATATGTAAAAATGGTGTGTGTATTTATATTGAAGTTCAATCTTAAGTTATTTCTGCATGAAAAATGTTCAGGCAATGATGATGATATATTGTCAACCTTTTCAGGGCAACTACCATGCTGTTATGAAACTTGATGGTATCGGTTTACTGCAACAATACAACACCAACACTAAACTATACAGTAAACAAGCACCTGTCAGGCTCCCAGTACAGTGTGCTTTTGAGAAGAAAGAGCAACTCTGCCCTGTTCGTATCTGGAAAGAAGAAGTGTTGAGAAGAAGAGTTCTGTGTTGAAGTCAGCAATGATATTCTGATTGGTGAAAAGTTCTGCAGATACATGTAGCAGCTTCAGTTCACAAATGTGCATAGGGACACTGTTTCTCCTTATACTCATGGACAGTACACCTAAACATATGATTTATTTTATATATTTATAATGATGTGAGGTGTTTTTCTTTCATTCAATTATCGTATATAGTGAATTTAGCATCCTGCTGATGCGCTGTGCATGGAATTTCTTCACTTTCACTGTTTTCAGCATTTTAGGGCAAAACTCTTTACATGTGTTACATTTATGTTAATTTATTCATATTTCCTCAAGAGTAAAGAACTATCAAAATGATGAATTTTGTTTGTAGTTGATTGTTTAAGCATGACAAAGGGTAAATGGTATTATATAGGCATGAATGTATTTATGCATGCATCACCCAGCGACATGTCAAATATTTGCCCAATGGCATGGGCATGCTTATCTTGTCGGCCACAGATTTGCCTTGTCCACACTATATTTACTAGCCACCATGATAGACAAATAACAATCCTGGCAATCAATGCTACAGATTATGAATTTACATCCAAACTGATGGTTATTTCGATAGTACCAAAATGCTGATGTCACCGTATCTCAACAGAAACATTAATCATGAGGTGGTAGCGTTAGGGTTCCTAGCCAATATAGGGGCGGTCGGTAGTCTAGTGGTTAAAGCGTTTGCTCGTCGCGTCAAATACCCGAGTTCGATTCCTGACATGGGTACAATGTGTGAAGCCCATTTCTGGTGTCCACAGCCGTGATATTGCTGGAATGTTGCTAAAAGCGGCGTAAAACCATACTCACTCACTCACTCTAGCCAATATATATCCGATTGCGATGTAAAACTGGGTTATTCCTGATACAGACACAGATGTAACAGTTTCTTAATAGGAAAATTAATCATCAGGTGCTAGGGTTGGTTACCCAATACGTGCTGAAAAGTGCCAAGAAACTGCTTTCTTTAGTCACACAGACCATACTTATTAATTTCTGTCCTTAGGGTACTGCAATTGTGGTGAAGTGGAGTGAGAGAAACTTGGGTGCACAGGTGTCCCAATTGTCATGGTTGATGGAACTTTATGTGCAGTTGGTGCCAAGATATACTGGTCATGGATCCTTCGTTTCTGCACCACAATACCTTCTGTGGTTGCACTAAGTTGTGCCTTCCCCTCAAATCACACTGCCACAGGTTCATCTGTTCAGCTTTAAGTCACTTTTCTCCAAACCAGTGATCAGAAAGGATCCTCACATAACCAATGGACACAACTCTGCAGTGTTGCAGCGTTTTAGACCATGAGGCCTACTTTCCTCTCAAACAGTATAAAACCTCCACACAAGGTGACAGAAGCACAACTTGTATCACATGTATTCCAATACTTTATTCTATTACAGAAATCCAATGTTTTTTCAAAACTATATATATATCAGTCGTGAAAACAAAAACATCTGTATACCATATTTGTGAAACTTATACTTAAAGATGGTGTCAGTTATCTTCAACTTGCTGAATATGAACTTTGACATTTGGTCATGACAATATTAGTGCTGGAATCAAGAGGGCATGTCCAGTTCATGACATCTTGAATGCAGATATCTGAAACCACAAAAAAAACTAACTGTACAAGTAAAATGTACAATTTCTTTAAAACATAAGGATTATTATTTTATTAGGTAATCGTCTTATCTGTAAGGCTACAATGTTTGCCAAAGAAAGGTGAATTATTTTTCTTATGATAGCCCATAGTTGGGTTAAAAATAGTGCCATGACATTGTAGCTCACCTGGACATAAAGTTAACACTTTATAATGACATCAAAGACAACCACCTAACAGAGAATATCATTGATACTCTGCATATATATATTTTTATATTTATTTATTTATTTTTCTAATACCGAGGAATAAAAAGACAAATCTAAATATCTGAACAAAACATGCTGTCATCATGAGGAGAAACACACATGACACAAGTTCACCTCCCTCAGTCTGGCAAATTAAGAGAAGTTTACATGGCCAAAAATGCAAAGTTTCAGCATCAGTGGTTGAGTAGTTTCCAGGGAGGTGTTCACAACAGATATCTCATGAATGTTCATATTTTCCAAAATGGTCGCTGTCAGCCATATTTGATTTCTGGTCAAGACAAATTGTACAAACTCTATACTACAAAAGGTGACCATCTCACCCACCAAGTTTCAGGACTCCTACCCTTTGAAAAAAGATGCTTGAATTTTACTTTCTTAAATCAAAGATGGCCAGGTGAGCAAACTCAATCTCCCTCAATCTTAAATTCCTTAATCTCCAAAGTCCCAAACGTCTACTCATCTAAGTATCATTAAAACAAAATGTATACATATCTCAAGCTTGTAGATTGACATCCACACGACATCTTAAAACTGGACATTAAAATACTGTTACTGTAAAATGAGCATTGTATCTCAAACCTCAAATGAAATATTTCAAATATTCAACATTCACACATTTCTCAGCTCACCATACACTTTACCAACAATTAGTGATCAGGTTTAACGATGATCACAAGATAATATGGTTACTCCTATGTCACAGGACCAGTAAAGATTTATCATCTGGCATTGTGCTCAGGGATGGTAGTCAAAAATTGCTACCCTTTCTATGATTTCAACCCGATAAGTACATGTGATGAAAGTTGAACGATCGAAAACATAAATACAGATATTTTAGGGCAAGTGTCTTAAGAATCACATAGTGTTTCAAATGAAAATGTGACTAAACTTAATCAAATAGATTGCAAACATATGTCCAAAGTCTGGATGTACACAATGAACACTTGTCATGACCATCTGTGCCCAATTATGCAGGTTAATCCTTACAACTTTCTTCTAGGGCGTTTCAACACCAGGATCGAAGAAAAAGTAGAAATGCAGAGTGTGAGATAGGATAAGTGTCAGTTTTCCACTTATAGTGGAAAATGTTACTTGCACTGGGTGCAACCTGGCAATAAAAGTTACCTGCACTAGCAATGTTTGACCTGCACTGGTGCTGTTTGGCTACAGCAAAATCCACCCCTGTATTTGAATGTGATTATGGATATTAATGTGTTGCTAAGGCAATAGTATAGACAAATACTACAATGACAGAATTTGCTGCTGATATTTCTCATTTATCAACAAGTCATTAAGCCTTTAAGATATTTAACATGACCCTAAGACAATGATAGTTCTCTTCCTGCCAATATTAACAGATTTCATATTCAACTGTTTATTCCTCTAAATTGTGTAACTTGTGTAAGTGAATAGACAAAATATCAGGAACCTGTTATCAGGAGGAGAACTGTTAAAAACGTTGGGCAGTGACCATCATAGGTAAGGAACTGAATTGGAACCCCTTTGATCACATGGGTCCAATGGTACCCTCTCTGATTGGGTGATAGCTGACTTCCTTCTTTCTTACATGCCAGTCACTAGATACAATAGATTGTGTTTGAAGATATTCATGAATTTCGAAACAATTGTCATACACACTGGTATACCATAATGACATCATAGATTGAAATAAATACCTTCTACAACAGGTTAATAGCATCTGACAGTTCTGGTATAACCCAATATGCAAACAAAAGAATCGACATGTTTTCACATTATAGACAACTTACTGTACAATAACTTACATGCTGATACATGACTAACTGTCTGAGTAGTGGAAGAAAACTAAATTTTAAATCTGCCATGGTGGTCATGCTCAAAATCAGATCATCAAGATCATCCATTTCTAGTGTATTATTCCTGGAACCACAAAAAATGACAGCTTCATAGCAATTATAGGTTATTAAAGAAATGTAAAAGTAAAGCATCACTAGATTTAAGGATTACATTAAGTTCAAGGTTCATACATGTGTAAATTATTGAAATACACAAAACAGAACCTTGTGTAACATTGTCACCAGATAGTGAATTACATGAGCAGTTTGTGCCAAAAACTGATGGGTCAACTAGCCCGAACAGGACTCTCAAAATCATTTTCATTAGATTTTAGTGTTGTCATATTGACCATTATTAATTGGGCTTACTACGTTGAACACAGTCTTACTTGACTTGTGCTTCAAACAAGAGGGTTTTTCGGTTATATCTTTACAGTAAGAATTAGTATATGCATTATAGTATACCCTAAAGTACCAGACAACAGGCTACGACTTGCTACTTGGATTCCGCAATGAAATAGGTTGATGTTTGCAAGACAGTTGAATATTTTGTTGTTGTTATAAATATTTGGTTAAAATGACCCCCTAAAAGACATATTACTTCCGCTTTGGAGTCATGATGACCCCTAGTTTTACCAGGTTTGAGCAAACCCTGTAGTGACCAGGCTTCCAATCGATGTGCGAAGAGCATTAATATTTATAATATTAATAAAAAACATATACTTTATGCTTACATCCCCAGCACCGATTAACGTGATGGTGATTCGCTCGTATTCCCTTTTTCCATTACTATTAGATGGGAGACACTTATTTCAGATTATGATGAGTAGAATTGACACTTGTCAGGTAATATTATTAATACACCAGTATGAAACTTGCACAAATATAACTTTAGAAAGACAGAGATGAGTTCAACAAAAAATACCACAACAAGGTAGTGCACATTTAGGTCTGTTGTGAGGAACATACTGATTTTACAACTAAAGCTGACACTTTCTAGCACTTTTTACAAACATACATAACCTGATGATACAATATTAATTGTGTTATGACAAAGCATGTGCAAATAGTTGTGGGAATCTTGGTTTGTGTCTCATACAAACTGATGCAAACATTCTGTATTCATTACAATCAATAAAATATCACATTATAATACTAGAGTATAAGAATATTAAAAAAACTTGTATAGCTTTGTTTGTTTGTTGTTTAATGCCACACTCGGCAATATTCCAGCTTTGACAGCTGCCTGTAAACAGTCAAATCTGAACCAGACAATCCAGTGACTGACATCATGAGCATCAACCCACACAACTGAGATATGATGACATGCATCAACCAAGTCAGCTAGCCTGACCCCTCGATCATGTTACTCGCCTCTTTTGACAAGCATAGTTGCTGAAGACCTATTCTAATCTCGATCTTCAGGGGTAAATTTGTAACTAAACATGCTGAAGAGGTGCCCATGATCAATGCCAAGAACTACAGTAACAATAATAGTAGAAGGACATGGGAAGATGCATCCTGGGAGGATCTTTTTCAAATTTAAAAGAGTGGGTTTCAATGTATAGGACATAAAGCAGCATCTGCTAGTCCTTGGTTCTTACAGGACATTTGTATAGCCATTGTTTTTATTCGCTCTATTTGGGTACAACACAAATTGACTATAACACTGATAAATGAGCACATTGGGCTCCTAGTCCTAATTAAGTGGCCCTGGTACTGTACCTGTAGGCAAATCTTATTTAGGAATGTATGAGAAATAACATGACAATGGCAAGACCTAATGCAGGCCAGTAGACAAAGTGAATAAGAAAATCTATAATATATAACCCTGTCAAATAGATCACTATTTGGAAACTACACTATGTCCTACAATGTGTGAACAATGACATTATATTTGCGGATTAAATTATACTTACTAAAGCATGATGTTGCCGCAGTGTTCACTGCTGTTTATGATAAGGGATTCAAGTTCTGTTCATTGGTCATAGACAGATGTAGTTTCTGACACTGTCAACAAAAACATTCAAACATTACACCCTACACACAACTGTATCTGTTAAGGTTGAGTTAAATGGAAATATATTCATTAATAAAATGGTATTTATACTTCAGACATTCAGTTACCAGATGATTCCAGTTAGTTAGATACTGTAGTTATAATCTTATGACAACACAGTGTAGTCAGGTATAAAAGGATAAATTTGGTTTCTGTTGACAGAAGGGATGCAGGTGTTCAGAGAATATATTTTCAGTTGTTTGGGACTTCAGAGCTTGCCTCCGATGCATACTGCTGAAATGTAAACAAAATACGATATATAATGGTATATACGTAAGCACTAATTACTGGTAATTACTACTAGGCTAACAGAAACGAGACCCAGTCGTCTTTGGACGCCATTGATTGATCTCAAAAGATAGGCGCTTGACACCAGGCAAGTACAATCCAATATACAATAGTTACAAGGCCATGCTGTAACCGTAAAACACTCTGTTTTAGAATAAACGGCATTTATGATGCGACCTTGCTTGTGCACATCGACGCCGCTTGGAGGGACAGAAAACAATGCAAGGCTGCCAGAAGAAAACACGCACGACCTTACGTTACCATTTGTGGCAATGGCAGGAATTTTGAAGAGTATTTATCATAATGAAAAGACTCACGTTTGTTGTGCTTACTTTAGAGAACAGACACAATAAACTAGCCTAAACAGGCCCAGGAGGAGTAGTAGAAATGACTTGACCTTACACAACATGGCGGCGGATGATGCGTGCATATGATGAGGTCATGTGACCAGTTGGTGATGTAATGATCAGTGGTTATAATTTTCTTCATAATAATGTAGATTCTATTTATAATTATTGACCAACAACAGTATATTTCAAGTGTTATTTCTACATCTAAGCAAAAGAGTGTTGACGGTCTTGCGAGCTGGTTACAGACTGAGTCTGCCCTGCGATAATCTTTTATTTTTTCTGTTGAGACAGAGCCCGACTTGCCTACCATCTACGTTGACTCGTTGACCAATGAAAATCAAAGACATGCTAGTAATTTGCTGTTCGCTAGACTAAATGTTAGTCTACAGAGACGTAGACCGTCTTTGTGCCTGCTAGTAGCAGCTCGCAGTTGCTGACAAATATGTGCTTGTAGTACATGTAAGTAACATTCTCTGGATCGGGTGACCAGACAATCAAGTGATGGATGACCCAGCAATCCAGAGACATGATAGTGCATTTACTGATTTCAATGAAACTAATAAAACTAAGCAATGAACACATAAGGCAGATTTCTCCTTAAAAGTTTAATGAAGTTGACCCAGGTTTCCGCTAGACTTTGATGCTGGAAAGTGGACAATGTCGTCGCAGGAAGATTGGGTATCTCAGTGGGCTTGCGTGAAAAATATTCCTAAACATTAAAAAACACACGAGTTGATGCCTGCAACACTGCTATCTCAAGCTGCCTATAAACAGCTGAGTCTGGGCCAGGCACACTGGCAGTTCATCTAGCGTGTTCGTCTCCAATACAGACCCTAAAACAAATATATCCAATACAGCCCATGCAAGTCTATAAGATTTGGCAAGTCTAGATTACTGTATCTCAAAATGATATGTCCCTCCTCTTCAAACCTCACTTTAAAGTCGAATGAAATTCAATGCACATCAGGCACACAATTACACTTCACAGGTTTGAATTCTGTGTGAATTTCCCTGTTTTGTGATAACATCCACTGTCATCCTAAGCAAAGTATAATAACTGAAAATGACCTCTGTAAATTAGCTACATGGTAAATCACGCCATTTTTTACACATTAGTAAATCACCATTTACGGCGTTATTTACAGCATGTTTTGAAATTTAAATTTCGGATAATTACTGGGAGAAATGAATTTCAAAAAGAGCTAATTAGTGATCACAGATCATTCCAAAACGTCGCCGATAACCCTAGAATCGTTTAGAATGTTTTGGAAAATACACACACACGAACGCCGAAGTAAACTTTACACCATCCGTATATTGGATAGTGTTTACAAAATCACGTTTCACCTATGTTCAATTATGAGACGCCTATTACATCACGTATACTTCAAAACTCGGCTGCCATACATACATCCTTGAATGCTTTGGTCCTTGGTCGTTAATTGTCACCAATACAGAGTATCTAGAAAAAATCAAGCATTGTGAATTAGGTTTGGAAACGAACGCTGTACTCGGGGGAAGACTTCACTTGTTAGAAATGTAAACAAAGCAAAATTCAGATTTTACACAGTGTAACATTTTCTCCTATTTTGACAGAAATTTCAAAGTTTCCGGCTTGCGTGACGTCATGACTGACGCAAAATCACGCACAACCACAATATTATTTCATGAAAAATATACAAACAAATCACAGAACGCAGATTCTCAATGTTTCTGCTTACCTACATGTGACAATTCTCGCACAACCTTCACTTTTCATATCTTATGAAAATGTGCGTGAGAAAAATAGCTCGGCATCCTGCAGGTAATCAGGGTAGATAATTAAGAACCAGATATTTGGTCTACAGGGCTGTCACACACACATCCATATATGATCTAGTGGAAATTGTATGCATATTTCTCAATTTGTACTGTTTATTTTTTTGTCTGTTGTTTAACTCGACATTCCAGCTATATGAGGGCAGTCTCTAAATAATCGAGTCTGGACCAGACAATCCAGTGATTGACATCATGAGCATTGTTCCACGCAATTGGTAACGATGGCATGCATCAACCAAGTCATCGAGCCTGACCACCCGATCCCGTTAGTCGCCTTTTACAGCAAGCATGGGTTTCTGAAGATCTATTCTACTCCAGCCGGATCTTCACGGGTTTCAATTTGTACTGAATCTCCATGCTTCAAACTTTTGATGCAACATTAAAACCATGATCATTTATTTAGAAAATCTATGCCACACTGAGAAAAACATTAAGCTTAGTGGCTCAGTAGATTTATAGCAAACCAAAATATTTTTGGCACTTAATTCATATCAAGATTGCCATTAGTATTTAAACTAAAAGTTTCTTTTTCTGCATAGGGTCAATATTTTTTTCTGTTTACTTCTGTTGTCTGTTCAATTTCTGTCCACACCCGCCACCATTAGTCAGGTTATGTCACATCCTATAATTTCTCCACATAATGCAGAACCCTTTTCCATCACACAATGAAAGCTAAAATTTGTGGTAACATAAATCCATTGTTCCTTTCAAGTAAGTGAAACAGGGGCCTTTTGATTGAAAATATTTCTTTAAAGTTTACTGGTTTTCAAGCCAAGCTGAGATTTGATTTGATGCCACTGTGTTCTGAGTGTTCTAACATGCAAGGACAAAGGCAATGACGTCATGTTTTTAGCTCTGACGTCAGCATCTTCAGGCCGTCTCACTCTCCTACCCAGAGTTCCATGCGGCCGGCAGCCAGCTAGCATAGTACCTCTGCCACAGGCCAGCGCCATGTGACGATTCGTCACATCTTTCACATTCCATTCAAGATATTGTATATGCTTTTCATCCGTTTCATGTTTGACAAGTCTACACATTTTCATAAACAAATGTCAAAGAATGGTTAACTTTCATTGAGAAAGTATGCAAATACGTAAAAATCTACTTGTTTTTGCGTAGTTATCCTATGTTTACATTGGTTGTACGGCTCCACGTGCTGTCATCGAAGCCCAACGGAGAGCTAGCGACACGGTCACTTTGATGCATAAATATATATTGTCATGCAACTCACTGTCGCAGTTGTAGTAGCACATCTATATAATTATGCAAAACAATATGTAAAGCGCCCCCAAATACTTGCATTAGTCCGTTCTATACTGATTTCTGAAAAAGCGCGTTTGTTTACAAACAAGAGAAAAGTCCGGACACGTGATATGCAAATTAGCCTGTGGCAGTGGTGTTATGCTGAGTCACCACTGCGACGGAGTGTGCAGGCCGTCTGTGAAAGATTTAGAGTAAGATTTGCTCTTGGAGGTTTCAACCGGACTGGTTTCCTTCTGTGTGTGGTGCAACGAGTTCTTGGTACCAGTTTTAATAAGCTCCTCGCATCGATGTATCTTTACCTACACATTTATACAGTATCCATACCGCGAGTAGCATGCAAAGTAATGGAGCTTTTTGTGAACCGCATGGAAAACTAGTTCCACGCTATTGTTGCGTCCCAAACGGGGCCAAGCTTTCGCCCCGTGTCAAGCGGCCAGCGCAGTTGCCATCCAACGCGACCTTGAACTTTCTTGAACCATAAAATGGCGGCCAGGAAGTGATTTTTAGAAATGTTATTGATGATATTTGCTGTCTTATAAGCGAAATATGATGTGGCATGGGATACGTTATTAGCCCGTGGATACATAAGGTAGTATCTTCACTATTAATACTTTTAAAAGATATTTTGAATGTATAAATTAACTTGTAGACACGGATCTAGCAAGAATTGCATTCGAGTGCACCAACAGGCACCATGCTTATTGTTGTCAATCCTCTCTCCTCTCAGGAAATAATGGAGCAATGGTTGTTGATGTATTATGACCGCTGATTGTGAATGAACTGCATTATTTTATCCGTAGAGTCACCGTAAGTGTATCCAGCGTGAATTTGGATTGTTTTGACTTTTTCTCAGAAAATACACAGGGAAGCTGAAACTCGGATGATCGCTCTAATATTGCCAGCCAAAAGTCACGCATGCTATTTTTAGCCATTACCCGTGTGTTATTTGTTCAGATAATTTGAATATATAGAAGTGGCCATTGACTATAGTTTGGAAAAAAACAGGCTTTAACAGTAACCATGGTAACTTTGCATATAACATATATATGATCTATTTTCATGTCTCTGCTTTGCCTCAGTGATATCTTATGATCTTTAAAAATGTTCTTTTAAAAATAACTGAACACAGCAAGCAGTTACATTGATATAATATGTAAAAAGACATTGTGATTGAGAGCTGTTCCTGCTTGTAGAATAGTCAAGACATAAAAAATGGTAAACAATACCCTTGAGTACACTTTGATCTAGCTAGTACCATTCCTTTTCTTTTCAGTCAAGCACCAGTCCAGCAGAGCTTATTCTGGAATGACACGCTGATGATGAATCTCTTATTAGTTATGTTTTCGCTGGCAATGTCGATTGCTTGTGAGGCATTCTGCCCAGGCTTCTTCCTACTTGTTATTGCTGTTGAGTTGTATGGGCCATCCATAGCAATATTTATCTCCCATTCGTTGCTCATATGATTAACTTCCTTCACTAATTCTACTTTTTCAGCCATATCCTGTGTAAAGTTCAGTTAGTGGACTTCGAAGAATGCAGTCACAGAGCTGTGTTACATGCTTCAGCCATCTTTTCATTGTTGCATACCCTCCAAGTCATCTTTGCTTGACTCTCGTTTCAGGTCTTGCTTGTGCTGGCTGCAGTAGGACACAACAGCCACAGAGAGGTAGAGATGCTGTCACAGCCTGTTGTCGACAGCCCAGTGCCATCCAACCTCGACTTGGTAACCAGTGAGAAGTCTTCAGCACTCATCCTAGTGACAGTCATGTGTATCTGGGGTGGAGAGGCACTTTCTGACTTTTCAGATTGAAAGGTGAGACCTTTGTTCCAGGCAGTGTGGCCCTTGCGGAATTGTGACTTGATTCTCTTGCGACTGACTTTCATCACGATTGTTTTATTAGAAACTCTCAAGATCTACACATCTTGTGCCAGCAGTCCAAATTGCAGTTGAGCTGTTCACACAGTCTGACACTTTTGGGTGTATT